CACTTCAGGTTACAGACTCCGCTAACCCAGAAATAGTACTTCAGGTTAAGAACTTTGCTTCAGTATGAGAACAGAAATTATGCTCTGGCAGCGCGGCGGCAGCAGAAGGCCCCATTAGCTAAAGTGGTGCTTCAGGTTAAGACAGTTTCAGGTTAAGAACGGAGCTCCAGAATGAATTAAGTACTTAACCTGAGGTACCACTGTATTGCTTTGTGACTTTGTGTGTGAAAACATCTGGGGGTAGGATAGGTCAGAAGAAAGTTTGACTGAGTGCAATGGGATGTTACACAGCCTTTGGGATGGGGGGCAAATGAAGGCTTTGTGTCTTTGTGGACACACACTTGCATGCCTAGGAACCAACTCCTAGGGGCTGAGGTCCCTTTGCCGCTTCTGCCCATTAATGTGGGAAGCTAGGTAGACAGGTGTGTGGAAGATTATTATCAGAGAGTCAGCGACAATGGAAAAAATGCACCCAACAACTAGAAGCCCTGGTGGCTCTGCAAGAGGAGATTGCTAGACTAAAAGCAGAACTAAAAGCTCTTCAAAAACATACAGGTAATTTGCAGCTAAACATAATAGTTGGAGTGCTTAGAGATTGAGGAAAAAAAGAATTGAGCAAATGGTTTATATAAAGCAAAAGGATGAGTATGATAAAAAGTTACTAGCGAATGTTCTCAAAGGAGGGAAAGCTAAATGCCAGATTTTATTCACTCCGATGGCAGCAGGGTAAAAAACATTCATTCTATTGCTTACTTCAACTCCCCCGTGGAAACAACTCAGAGGCCATGAAAGAAGGAAGGTTAACAACAGGAAGATTTAAAGGAACTATTGGAAACTCAAGGCAGTAGAGATATGAGATGATCAGAGCAGCCCCCCCCCGAACTTGAAGCATGGGAAGTCCCAATAAAAATTTATTTATTTGGCAGAATATTTGGACTATATGATATGTATTTTTATAATTTGGAATATTTAATGTGATTTGATTGGATTGTTAAAATGGAAAATTAAATAAAAAATTGTTGTTTTTTTAAAAAAAACACACCATTCCTTCTAAAGGTATAAAACATGAGTTTGCTGAATACTACATGGAACTGCACCAATCCATCCACCCATCCACAGAGGATATGGATTGCTTCTTATCTACCTTTTCCAGTTGTTACCCAGAAAGAAGCTTCCTCTTTTTAATATATTCAGAGACTTCTCCTTTTTCAAATTACCCAATTCCACTGACTGATTAAGGTCATGCACCCTCAGAGACTTGAGGATCCTGATAGATCCATCTGAACATTCTGGGGGCTTCCCCAATGGAAAGAGCCCGTGATCTGGTCAAGGCTCTCATCTCATTATGGAATGGCGAGATGAGAAGGCTTGTTACATTTATCACTCCTGAGACCTTCTCTGGCACTGTGGAGCCCACAACTCTACTGAGTTCAAAGCAAGAAAGCAAGGCTAGATAATGGTTATATACTCGTGGAGTAGACGTTCAGTAGAGATTTTCCAGATTGTCCAGAACTTGACCTCGCCTCTTGGTCTGAATGAGCACCTGGAGGCAACAGAGGTCTTCTGCCATCACCTGGTCCACCATTTTGAAGGGGGCGGAGTTGCATCTTGTCCAACTTTGCAGAATCAATTTCAGTTTGTGCGACTCGATCTCATGAACAGGGTGTGGCAGGTATGGACCTGGTAAATGCTCTCTGTATCCCTGCCCAGCATGGCTGGAGAAATCAAGCTGGAGGTGGTGGTGATTGGGTGGGTCTCAGATGTGTAGGATGTTTCATTGCATGAGGGGGTGGTCCTCACTACCTTAAAGGGGACCCTTGACCCAGTAGATTGTACAAACATTTTAGCCAAAAAGGCTACTATTATTTAATAAGAAGGGTTGTCAAACATCTGGAATTTTCTGGACATAGCCAGAATACTGCAGTCGGAAGCTGTGTCTGGTGGGAAATTGCTGAAATGAATTCGGACGTATGACAAAAGAAAATCACCTCCCCCCCCCAAAAAAAGCTCAACAACCCTATTATTAAGAATTGTATGTAGACAGCATCTTAAAAAGCAGAGACATCACCTTGCCAACAATGGTCCGTATAGTTAAAGCTATGGTTTTCCCAGTAGTGATGTATGGAAGTGAGAGGTGGACCATAAAGAAGGCTGATCGCCGAATAATTGATGCTTTTGAATTATGGTGCTGAAGGAGACTCTTGAGAGTCCCATGGACTGCAAGAAGATCAAACCTCTCCATTTTTAAGGAAATCAGCCCTGAGTGCTCACTGGAAGGACAGATCGTGAAGCTGAGTCTCCAATATTTTGGCCACCTCATGAGAAGAGAAGACTCCCTGGAAAAGACCCTGATGTTGGGAAAAGATGGAGGGCACAAGGAGAAGGGGACGACAGAGGACGAGATGGTTGGACAGTGTTCTCAAAGCTACCAGCATAAGTTTGACCAAACTGCGGGAGGCAGTGGAAGACAGGAGTACCTGGCATGCTCTGGTCCATGGGGTCACGAAGAGTCGAACATGACTAAATGACTAAACAACAACAACAACCAAAGTACATACATTATCTCTGTTTTCAGGTCATAGATGACTTTTATAAAGAGGAGGGTTGGGTAATACAGTCCTGCTAAATTTTCTCAATTTCTCTGCAGCTATTGATATAATGAAGGATGCGGGTGGCACTGTGGTCTAAACCACAGAGCCTAGGGCTCATCGATCAGAAGGTCGGCAGTTTGAATCCCCACAATGGGGTGAGCTCCCATTGCTCGGTCCCAGCTCCTGCCCACCTAGCAGTTCGAAAGCACGTCAATAGTGCAAGTAGATAAATAGATACCACTCCGGCAGGAAGGTAAATGGCATTTCCATGTGCTGCTCTGGTTAGCCAGAAGCGGCTTAGTCATGCTGGCCACATGACCCAGAAACTGTCTGCGGTCAAACGCCAGCTCCCTCGGGCAGTAAAGTGAGATGAGCACCACAACCCCAGAGGCGTCCGTGGCTGGACTTAATGGTCAGGGGTCCCTTTACCTTTATTGATATAACAGACCATGGGCTGACTTCTGGGCTGACTCTACAGGGTGGCTATCAGTCTGTTCTGGTGGCTCTGTTCCCAACCTGCAATGTCCAGAGAGTAGCACTGGGTGAATGCTCTTCGGTCGCCTGGTATTATGCTACAGAGTGCTGCAGAGATGATGGGAATTGTAGTCTAAAAAAACAGCTACTGACTGATTAAAGTTAGAAAACTGTGTAGCTTGGCCTCATCCTGCCTCCAGAATGACTAGCAGCCAAGCAAGTGAATCGTTAGCGTGAAATCTCAAAGGGCACTAGAAGCATATTCTAAACATAGCTTTTGAAAGAACTCAGTTAGAAGCAAAGAGAGTTCATCTGCCCGCAGAACAGTTTTGGCTAATTTCATACTTCTTTAAAAAGTCCTCAGGAGATTTTGCAACAGGGTGGACCCTTTGGTTTAGAAACCATTTAGAGGGAAATTGGGTGTACCTTTTGGTTTTGAAACCCTTTTAGGGGAAACTGGGTGGACCCATTGGTTTTGATATTATATAAAGGAAAATCGAACCCACACTTCGCTGGGTTGATCTCCTGGCTCCTGAACCTTTCAGAACAAGCAAGAGTCCTAAAAAGCAGGAAGTAATCTGCAGGACAAGCCTCATGCAAATCTAATCAATCTCAAAAATTAGTCCTGCTGGATTTACACGCAGGTAAGTATGTACTGGGTTGAATCTTCAATTTTCTTCGTGTGATTTTAGCTCTTTCGACACAGCAGGCTCTCACTGGATATATTCCTAAAGCTCAGGGCTAAATTATGTGCTGTGTGAAATGCATGTCTTCATGTATGCCCTTTATTTAAAAACAGAGACCTGAGGAGATCTAAAAGTACTAAACTCTCCCCAACCCTGTGGCTTATCTCTTCCAAAGGATGCTTTTCAACTCAGCCAAGCTTTTATACTGGAAGTGGGGTAAAATGCTTTGGGGAAGAAGCTATAGGAATCTTCTTGGTTTAATGTCCTTTGATGACCATCCTCTGTCATTCCCTTTAGTGTGTTCTGCTGACACCATGTCTAGCTCAGCCCTTAGCGTTACACTGAAGTGTGAATTTCAAAGTCCCACACATTACCTTAATCAGCAGTGTTGCTGATTATATTTTAAAGCAACAAATGTATTGGGTCCGGGATACCTGAAGGACCCACCTCCTCCCATATCAGCCAGCCTTGTGCCTAATATCTGGTGAGAGGTTTACTTGGTGTCCTGACTATGGTGGAAGCATGGCTGGGATAACGGTAGGGTTGTCATATTTTAAAGAGCAAAAAAGAGGACGCTGTGATGACTCTCCTTTAAATACCCCTACTATACGTAGGTTATAGAAGCTGTAATATATTGCTGAGCGGGGCAGGAGAAGAGAAGAGGAAAGCAAGTCTTCAACCATGTCTATGTCTCATCCAAAAAGTATAGCCACTCAAACAGAAATTTTACCCCTGAAAAGAGGACGTGTCCTGGAAAAAGAGGACACATGGCAGTCCTAGATAATGGTCAATACTGTGGTAACACCTGAGTCCTAGAAGATATTGCCTTGTAGGGTTCTTTTATTGGTGTTTCCCACTGTAAAGGCTTTTCAATTCCACCAAGGTGTTGCTGTGCTGTGTAGGTAATGCTCTGGTTTTAAGTTTTCGTTTTATCCGTTTATTGTATTTTACTAACGGTGTCGTTTTATTGTGATATTATTACTGCATTGTTGTTGTTGTTATTTATTGACTTTCCTCCCTTCACCATAAGATCCCAGGTGGGTTAAAATAATATAAGGATACCTGCCTACAGGACACTGCCTGCCAAACCTCTCTGCTCCCTTTCAACCCATTTTACACGTCACCCCTAACCCCCCACGCACCCATAGCTCTCTCAACAGCAGAGTCCTATCAGCTGGGTCAGTGATCAGCTTTTCTGTCTTTGTTATCTAGGCCAGTCAGAATTTCCAGTCCGGTTACAAAACATGCAGCAGAGTTTTAGCTTCCTCCTCTCTCCTTGCACAAATAACCCTTCTGTGCTGTCATTTTTCTCCATGAGGCTGGAGTAGGAGGCACGAGCAAAGATGGCGTCCAGTTGGTGGCTTCTTCCATTGATGTTACAAGCACTACATGGGGTGACAGATGCCACGGTGAAACTCAACAATGGTGGGTTTGAAGACCTTGTCATTGCAATCAACCCTCAGATACCAGAAGACAACAAAATTGTCGACAACATAAAGGTGCGACTGCTAAATGTCTCTAAATGTGTTGAATGCGCAAGCATAGGTGGGGATATAAGTATATAGTAATAATAATAATAGGGACGCGGGTGGCGCTGTGGGTTAAACCACAGAGCCTAGGACTTGCTGATCAGAAGGTCGGTGGTTCGAATCCCCATGACGGGGTGAGCTCCCATTGCTCGGTCTCTGCTCCTGCCAACCTAGCAGTTCGAAAGCGCATCAAAGTGCAACTAGATAAATAGGTACTGCTCCAGTGGGAAGGTAAACGGCGTTTCCGTGTGCTGCTCTGGTTTGCCAGAAGCGGCTTAGTCATGTTGGCCACATGACCCGGAAGCTGTATGCCGGCTCCCTCAGCCAATAAAGCGAGATGAGTGCCGCAACCCCAGAGTCGGTCACGAATGGACCTAATGGTCAGGGGTCCCTTTACCTTTAATAATAATAATAATAATAATAATAATAATAATAATAATTTATTTATACCCCGCCCATCTGGCTGGGTTTCCCCAGCCACTCTGGGCGGCTTCCAACAAAACACCAGTGGTGTAGTGTGGGTTGTCAGCACCCGGGGCAAGGCAAGTAATTTGCGCCCCCTAACCCGTGGATTTGCCTAACCCCCAGATGTTGCGCCCGGTGCGGCCGGCCCCCCCTGCACCCCCCACGCTACGCCACTGCAAAACACTAAAATACAATAACCTATTAAACATTAAAAGCTTCCCTAAACAGGGCTGCCTTCAGATGTCTTCTAAAAGTTTGGTAGTTATTTTTCTCTTTGACATCTGGTGGGAGGGCATTCCACAGGGTGGGTGCCACTACCAAGAAGGCCCTCTGCCTGGTTCCCTGTAACTTGGCTTCTCACAGCGAGGGAACTGCCAGAAGGTCCTCGGCGCTGGACCAAAGTGTCCGGGTAGAACGATGGGGGTGAAAACGCTCCTTCAGGTATACCATATATAGGTGGGAACTGCAAGAAAATGTTGCAGTATACAACTAGCTGGTGTAGAGGAAGCCAGCATAAGTTAAGCCAATGTAAAGTACATCTGATTCAAGCTCTGTTCAAGACTGGGGCTACTGCTGGTTGAGCCAGCCTAAGCCTGGCAGAGGGAAGGCAAGCCTTTAAAATTGTTACACCACCCCTAAGTGCACATTCTACAAACCCAAATGCAGATACTAGTTGCCGAACACATGGAGGTCTCGTATTTCCTTTCCTTGCTAGGGCATGGTTCAAGAAGCATCAGCTTACCTGTTTGGTGCAACGCAGAAAAGATTTTACTTCAAGACTGTAAAGGTGATCATTCCTTCCACGTGGAAAACAAAAGCTGACTATCAAAGAGTAACTAGAGAGTCGTACGATAAGGTAAGTCTGGAGAGAATGCATTGAAATGTAGGCGAACTTAGGGTATTTTTTAAAAGATTGGGGCAAATGGAGAGAGAAAGTACAAGGCTGTGATCTAATAAAGACTCACTCTGTTTACAACTCAACTTACTTCTGAGTAAACAGGCATAGATTTGGGCTGTGTACATTCGCAGACCCTCCAAGTATCCCTTATATTAATAATAATAATGATGAGGATTTTTGCTGAGGCAAAAATAATAAAGCATTAATATCAAAGGTACTTTGCTGCTGCTTTTCTGGGTGATCTTTCAACCAAATTCTATTTTATTGCAGGCAGAAGTCATAGTGGCAGCTCCTTACCTGAAACATGGAGATGATCCCTACACCCTACAGTATGGCGGATGTGGGGAACCTGGGCGATACATTCATTTAACTCCTAACTTCCTGACAAATGACAAATTGCTTGACGCTTATGGACCACGAGGTATTACTTACTACCTGTTTGTTCAGATTAGACTGCCTGTTTTATTATTAAAATGCTATTCGAGTTTCCCTAAAATAACAGAGTAAGAAAAGTCCTGAAGAACCCATACCACTTTAAACTTTATCACTCTAAAGGCAACCAGAACGTCATAAGGAACCGGCAATATCTCCGTGTCCAGCACATTTTTCAACCCACAAAACGTGCCTCTGTTTCCTTTCAGCAACGTTACTGTGGTGGCTTGCACACCATAAAGTACATGACTTCCTACTGTTTTCAGGATTATTTAAGGGAGAAGTCATGTGCTTTACATTTAGGGGGTGTATGTGGTCTGTATCAAGTACTTTCAGACTCTCTCGTGGGTTAATATATGAAGCCATTAAGAATTGACTTAAAATGACCATAGCCAAGGAATATCCTGTTCTGTGAGAGCTCAAGGCTCACAGGGGAAGCCCAGGAGTGTCTCATCAAGAGACTAAGTCAATACGCCCTCAGAAATACAAGGGATCCACAGCCCTTCTGAGGAAGTGATGCATGATGATGCCTCTGGAAGCACTTAGACTGGGCCAGAGACTGAGACATCTTGACTGGGTGCATAGCGAGCCCCACCTTCCAAAAGAAGATGGCTGCCTTTAAAGAGCACTAGCCTTATTGGGCAGTCCTTGTGGTCGGGGAGGCAGGAGTACTGTGGGAGATTCATCTTCTGAATCAAAGGAGGGTGGGCAGGATGTGCCTCTGGCTGGCAGGATCCGGAAGAGGCTGTGGAAAGCTGGAGTCTTGTCCTCCTCCGTCGCACTGTATGCAGTCTCTGGGTCATAACAAGGAAAGCTAAATTGAATTTTTAATCTGTTTGTTGAACGGTAGAAATAGAGGTGCCTCTTCCACCATTTCCTAAGCAGCACTACCCCCCCCCCAAAAAAAAAAATACAGGAGAACTCAAATTGAAAAGTTGGCTAATCCAATAATAATAGATACTTTCTTGGGCTCCATGATCACTGCAGATGGTAACAGCAGCCACGAAATTAAAAGACGCCTGCTTCTTGGAGAAGGGCAATGACAGGCCTAGACAGCATCTTGAGAAGTAGAGACGTCACCTTGCCAACAAAGGTCCGCATAGTTAAAGCCATGGTTTTCCCAGTAGTGATGTATGGAAGTGAGAGCTGGACCATAAAGAAGGCTGATCGCCGAAGAATTGATGCTTTTGAATTATGGTGCTGGAGGAGACTCTTGAGAGTCCCATGGACTGCAAGATCAAACCTATCCATTCTTAAGGAAATCAGCCCTGAGTGCTCACTGGAAGGACAGATCATGAAGCTGAGGCTCCAATGCTTTGGCCACATCATGAGAAGAGAAGACTCCCTGGAAAAGACACTGATGCTGGGAAAGATGGAGGGCACAAGGAGAAGGGGGCGACAGAGGACGAGATGGTTGGACAGTGTCTTCGAGGTTACCAGCATGAGTTTGACCGAACTGCAGGAGGTAGTGGAGGACAGAGGTGCCTGGCGTGCTCTGGTCCATGGGGTCACGAAGAGTCAGACACGACTAAACGACTAAACAACTAAACAACAACCATTTGTATGACTGCACAACATTTCAGATTTTATTTTAGGGTTTTTTTTGTGGGGTGGGTGTGTTATAATTGTCAAGGAGGGGTTTGCTTTCCTGAGTCCTCCTTCCAAGCTAGTAATCAGTCACACGCAGGCACCGAATGGGTTGCCAGGCTTGAATGGCTTCGTCTTGAGCACCAGCTACAGAACATCAAAAAGCAAGTCTAAAACACGGTGTGTTCTCTCCCCCTACCCTGCCCCACTGAAGGCTTATAGGGGCTGGGGAATGTAGGCAACCATCCAGCCCCATCACATGCTCCCACTTTGGGGACTAATTCTTACCACCTGCCTGAGGTACCCTGACATAAGGTAAAGGTAAAGGAACCCCTGACTTAGGTCCAGTCGTGACCGACTCTGGGGTTGCGGCACTCATCTCGCTTTATTGGCCGACGGAGCCGGCATACAGCTTCCGGGTCATGTGGCCAGCATGACTATGCCGCTTCTGGTGAACCAGAGCAGCGCACAGAAATGCCGTTTATCTTCCCACCGGAGCAGTACCTATTTATCTACTTGCATTTTGACGCACTTTCAAACTGCTAGGTTGGCAGGAGCAGGGACCGAGCAACGGGAGCTCACCCCCGTTGCAGGGATTCGAACCACCGACCTACTGATTGGCAAGTCCTAGGCTCTGTGGTTTAGCCCACAGCGCCACCCGCATCCCTGAGATACTTGCTCACTATTCATGGCAATAATTTCTATCTACCTGTATACTGTACTTTTAAAAAAAAGGTATCATAGGTTTTGTCCTTGATCTTCCACAGGCAGAGTCCTTGTCCATGAGTGGGCTCATCTCCGATGGGGTGTCTTTGATGAATATAACGACGATGCACCTTTCTACTCTCCTGGGGGAAACAGCATGCCTGAAGCAACGAGGTACCACCCCAAATCTCCAACAGATGTATCTCTTCTTTTATAAGTGATGTTTGCCTTGGGCTCGTTCATTTGGTTGCGGTGTGAATCATTGTCTTGAGGATGAGCTTTGATGATATATGGAAGAGATTTCGCATTAGGGCAAAGTGGGGGTAATGTCCTGCCCTTGGGCAAGTGCCCACTTTCCCGCTGCTCAAGACCTTATTTTCGGCCAGCTTACTCAGTCTCTCTGGAGACTGTTCTCAGCCACAGTCCTGCACACAATTTAGCCCAGTAGTGCATTTCTTTTGGCATGGTGACATTGCAGCGGATTGTCCCTACTTCTGTTTGCTCCTCACTTGAGTCTAACCTGGCAATTTTGTTTCCAGTGGCCCACAATGCCAAACAAAAGACGCCAGTTGCTGTGTGCTGAAGATGGGCTTGGATTTTGGCATGGTTTGGAGGAGTTAGTTACTAGAAAGCCTTCCAGACCCTCCATCGCCCAGAACCCGGCAAGCCTTAAAAGTAGGAGAGCAAAGAGCTCAAAGACAGAGGGCACCTAGCAGCACACATAGAAGTGATGAGTGAGGAAGTGTGAGAAATGGGGGGTGGTGGAGATTCACTCGGGACAACACCATTATTCAAGAGTCTGGGTTCTAGGGCCTCTCTCTGTAATGTTTGAGATAAAAAGGGACTGTAAGAAACTTTCCCTTGTTTTTATACTTTCCTGGACAACCAGCTGGGAGCTGCTGGGAGCATTTTGACATGAGCTAATGTACCAACTGAGCACACATAAAAATCAGATCTGAACCACATGTTTGCTGAATAAAGTACCTGTCTAGAAATCATCTATATAATTGATTCAAACTCTTTCATCTCCGCCCATTATGAAGAGTTCTACAATCTGATCTTCAGGTCAGGCTGGTGGGCACTGGAGTTTGTCTTAGCAGTCGTGGCATTACAAAAAACAAGATAGCATGCAATCATACCAGCATGTGATGATTTCTTGACTTTTAAACCGACCATGTCTGTTGCTGTTATATTGATTAGGTGCCCAGCTACTTTCAAGGGTAGCTATGTAGTCTTGCTCGCTGATGGAACTACCAGACCATGCAAAGTTGAACCAAAAACTCAGCTGTATGAATCTGGGTGCCAATTTATTCCAGAAAAAAATCAAAATACTCCAACATCTATAATGTATGTGCAAAGTATCCCATCGGTAAGTATGATACATCTTAGTTGGGATTTATTTTTCTCCAATGCCTCAAAAATGCAGGATTTTTGCTAAGTTAAATAAAATATTTGGAGATTTTTAGCTTCAATTCTTGCAGGTAATGTGTGTGTGTGTGTGGGTGGGTGGGTGGGTGGGTGGGTGTGGGTGTGGGTGTGGGTGTTTCACCAATAAGATTGTGTTAGGGCTGGGGAGAAAGTATTCCAACCAAAATTTAGTTATATTGACCTAGCAATTCAAGAAGAAACTCTTTCTTAAGGGCCTGCAGTTTTCCCGTCCTTCCCTCTTGAAACCTTCTCTCAATTTATAGAAGCTACATACAGCACAAGCTACGGGACCCAGACTGACTGAGCAGCCACTAGGCCCAACAGTAGGGTTGCCATATGTTCGGACATAGCCGGCAATTGGCGGTCGGAAACTTTGCCAAAAAAAGTGGAACCCAAATGAGGTAGTTGAGGCACATAGTCAGACTGAAGGAAAGTGAGATGGGTTCTGTTGCTCTCTGCAACAGAACAACTAACATTTGGATAATTGTGCAGGGTTCTGCAAAATGTTTCTGGTTTGTGAGTAGAGTTGAGGTAGCCTTCAATGTTTGCCCTCAGACCTTCCAACTGTCCCTATTTTCCAGGGACAGTCCAGGATTTACAGAAGCCATCCTGGTTTCTGATTTGACCCTGGAATGTCCTGCTTTTCCTTAGGACGTCCCTATTTCCACCAGGGAAATGTTGGAGGGTATGTTCCCTTCTTCGGCAGGAAACTGCTCAGAGTGAAAAGCTAGGTAGGTGAGCAAGCGAAGGAATGAGGGAACAAACAAGCATATGTTCATCTGTTCTTTTTGTCTGAAAAAGAATGTCCACTTTTGTAGCACCTCTTCCCAAGGAATGGCTGCCATGAGGTAGATATTGCTTATAAGGTTGTGAACTTGATTTATTCTTCTTACCTTTTATTTAGGTTACTCAGTTCTGTGACAAAAGCAACCACAATACTAAAGCAACAAATATGCAGAATAAAATGTGCAACTACAGGAGCACCTGGGATGTAATTACGACTTCTCCTGACTTTGCCAAGTCAACTCCACAAAGAGCTCCTCCGCCTAGCCCCACTATCACTTTGCTGCAAAAACAGGAGAGAGTTTTGTGCCTAGTACTTGATGTTTCTGGAAGTATGGGTTCGGTGAGTCTATGTTTTAGGCGCTCAGAAGAAGTTTTTCGAGACAGTTCAAAAATGATGGAATTGATGTCAATAGTGACAACAAGTGTCAATACAGCATTGACATTTCTGTCATAAATGCCATGCTGTTTTATGTAATAATAATAATAATTTATTATTTATACCCTGCCCATCTGGCTGGGTTTCCCCAGCCACTCTGGGTGGCTTCCAATAGAATATTAAAATATAATAGTCTATTAAACATTAAAAGCTTCCCTAAACATGAGTTTGACCAAACTGCGGAAAGTAGTGGAGGACAGAGGTGCCTGGCGTGCTCTGGTCCATGGAGTCACGAAGAGTCGGACACGACTAAATGACTAAACAACAACAAAACAAGGCTGCCTTCAGGTGTCTTCTAAAAGTCTGGTGGTTGTTTTTCTCTTTGACATCTGATGGGAGGGCATTCCACAGGACAGGCGCCACTACCAAGAAGGTCCTCTGCCTGGTTCCCTGTAACTTGGCTTCTCGCAGTGAGGAAACCGCCAGAAGGCCCTCAGCCTTATATACAGGGAGCCTGTTTTTGGTTTTAGATTAGATTTGGTTAATTTGGATATATATGAAACTACAGTAATTAATTCTTACAGGAGAAGAGTTCTAGGGCAAGGGTGGACAACCTGGCTGAGGTAGAATGCAAGGTCTGCTCATCGTAAATCCCCAGTTGGTGCAGGGAACCTAGAGGAAGAGATGGAACATGGGAGGTGAAAACTGCAGGGGTGAAAGTGAATGGAAGGAGGCAAGGGAAATCCTGATCTGGCCAGATCAATCAGGTCTTTCAGGCTTCTCAATTGTGCAGGAAACGTCAACAGCTGCACAAGGCTTCCCTAGTGAAGAAATACCCTACTACAGAAGTTTATGGTAGACACATGATGGGGGTTGGAGGAAGTCATATCGCTCCTGGGATGGGTAGTTGTAAATGTGTTTTCCTGCTGCCCTGGCTTTTCTATGTTCTGGAGACAGGCTTCTGCAAAGCTTGTCGGAGGCCTGGGGCAAGAGTCTTGTTAAACTAAAATTATAAACTCAAACCCAAAACTACCAATCCCTGGCAGGATCCCCCAGCTGGCTTAGCCCTCTGAGGCCCAGGGAAGTGTACCTGGCTGCCTCACACCCCCCCCCCCACTGCATGGGCCTGTCTGGTAATAGTCCTCGAAGTGGATTTAAGAGACATGGGACGTCCTTATTTTCATTGGAGAAATGTATGGAACCTTTTAATTGAAAGGCAGGGTTTACATCATCTAACTAACTAAACAACTGCTAAGCAAATTGGGGGGGGCACATTCTGGAATAGAGTTTATATTTCTATACTAGCATATAGAAATTTGAATATCAGACACAAAAACATTGTAGGATAATCATTCTCCAACAGCAGAATTTGTGGGACAAGCCCCATTGCAATGAATGGTGCTCTTGTGAACCTCCCATCCATTTCAATGGAGCCTGTGCAGGGAAACATCCAGATGGATTGTGCCCGAAATCGCAACAAGGATGAGGTTATTTGGAAACTCATGGACATTATGCATTTGCCTATATCCACATAAGTTTATCAAGCCTTGTTTTTTAAAGTATAATTGACAGTTGCATTTTCAGTCATTTATTTGCTTCCCAGAATCCACTGGCAGTTCTGTGAATGCTGGTTTTTTTATTAATATTATTGTTATTCCTATGCAGAGCAATCGCATTGGTCGGCTGAAGCAAGCTGCGGAAATATTCGTCCTGCAGATTATTGAAGCGGGATCCTGGGTTGGAGTAGTCACGTTCAATGACGCGGCAACAGTCCAGACTCACCTGAGGCAGATCAGTGACGACAGTGTGCGCAAAACTCTTGCAGGGTTTCTTCCTACTTCAGCTGGTGGAGGAACTAAGATATGTTCTGGAGTGCGGTCAGCATTTCAGGTGAAAAAGAATAAAATTCCAGATCCTTTTATTCCTATTCTTCTTTGTAGGGTAGCCAGTTGCAAAAGTGTAAAGGGCTGCTGTGTATCTAAGGGTTGTGTACAAGAGGGTATTTCAGCAGGTATGCTCTCTCATATAAGCCAAGAAACTGAAACTCAGTGCAGAGAAGATAGAGATGCTATTTGCAGGTGGATCCACTGCCTGGGTAAGTTCTGGATAAGTTCTGCCTGGGTAAGTTCAACCAGTTCTGGAGGGAGTCCCAATCCTCTGAAAGATCAGGTTCCTAGCTTGAGTGTACTTCTGTATCCATTGAAGTGACTGGAGGCAAAAGTGGCTTCCACCAGGTGTGGCTTCTGCCATCTATGAACTGGAAGCCTCTCAGTTTGATTATTGTCCTTCTATCCCACCTTTCCTCTGAGGAGGTCAAGGTGGTCTCTCAGGCTGAGAGACTGTTTGGCCTGAGGTCGCCCAGTGAGCTTCATGGCTGAGTTGGGGTTTCAAACCATAGTCTTGGCCAACGTTTCCATGGTTTCAAACCATGGTCCTAGTCCATGGTTTTAACCACAGCTTTCTCGTGTGAAATAGCAAATGCTAATACTTCCTTATTAACAACCATGGAAGATATGGCACCCATCTCACCAGACTCTGCTTCTGTTACAGGTAGGGAATTAGTTCACACAGAACAGCAGCAACACACCACACTTAGCAGAGCTTTGTAGCATTTTCTCGTTCATTTTAAGCACAAATGGTGCCCGGTGGCTTCCACATTCCTAGTTGCTGCTAAGATTCTAAATGCTCTGCTCCATACAGGTGTTTTTAAAGAAGTACCCAAATACCAGAGGCTGTGAAATTGTGCTCTTGACAGATGGAGAAGATAACCAAGTAAATTCCTGCTTTACCGAAGTTCGAAATAGTGGGTCTATAATCCACACCATTGCTTTGGGACCAAAAGCTGAAAAAGAACTAGAAATGCTGGCAGACATGACGGGTAAGGGAGCGGGCAGAATGCCACACCCTCAGTCCATTTGGTGCCAACTGGGGTTTCGCTAAGAGTAAGTTTACTAGTGGGCCCAGCCCCCCGCCATGCTACTTTCATCCGCACAATGTTCCTCCTACTTGCCCACAGAAACTTCACTGCTTTTCAATGCTCTGTTGTTGTTGTTGTTGTTGTTGTTGTTGTTTAGTCATTTAGTCATGTCCGACTCTTCGTGAGCCCATGGACCAGAGCACACCAGGCACTCCTGTCTTCCAATGCCTAGCGCAGTTTGGTCAAACTCATGCTGGTAGCTTCGAGAACACTATCCAACCATCTCGTCCTCTGTCGTCCCCTTCTCCTTGTGCCCTCCATCTTTCCCAACATCAGGGTCTTTTCCAGGGAGTCTTCTCTTCTCATGAGGTGGCCAAAGTACTGGAGCCTCAGCTTCAGGAACTGTCCTTCCAGTGAGCACTCAGGGCTGATTTCCTTAAGAATGGAGAGGTTTGATCTTCTTGCAGTCCATGGGACTCTCAAGAGTCTCCTCCAGCACCATAATTCAAAAGCATCAATTCTTCGGCGATCAGCCTTCTTTATGGTCCAGCTCTCACTTCCATACATCACTACTGGGAAAACCATAGCTTTAACTATACGGGCCTTTGTTGGCAAGGTGATGTCTCTGCTTTTTAAGATGCTGTCTAGGTTTGTCATTGCTTTTCTCCCAAGAAGCAGGCGTCTTTTAATTTCGTGGCTGCTGTCACCATCTGCAGTGATCATAGAGCCCAAGAAAGTAAAATCCCTCACTGCCTACTTTACATTTACTGACACACAGATGTCTTTTGCACACAGATGTATAAAAGACTACACTACAACAATGTATTGCCTTTTATTCCAGCTAACCAAGTATCCTAACTGTTCCTTCAATCGCATTCCAGGAGGTCTGAAATTTGCTGCCACTGACAGCTTGAATTCCAATGGTCTCATTGATGCTTTCAGCGGAATTTCTTCAGGAAGTGGAGATCTCAGTCAACAATCTATTCAGGTATGCATTGCAAAGATTAGAGTGAAATAAGCAGTTCTACTACGACTATTAGGCACTGTAAAAAAAAATGTTTAAAGCACAAAGTAAAATTAATTCTATAGTCCATATTTTACTAGTATTGTGCAGCAGGAGAACCAGGCAGAATTCACAGATCTTACAGAGGTGGATTTTGACAGGGCTGAAACAACATTTCCATTTTTACTGGTCCTAATTCAGTTGAATGTGTGGTCATACAAGCACCATGGTGTCTCATTGACTACTCTTTGCCAAAATGTGGCGGCAGATCTGTTGCTTCACCTAGAGTTGCCCCCCCAAATCTCCCATTGTATCAGCTGCAAATTTACTTCTCTTTGCCTGTGGAATTAGAGTTGTGTGTCTTGCAGAGTCAACCTCTGAGATCATTGATTTGCATTTGATCAGAGGTTGTCCCCATTTCTGAGCTTCATTTAAGAAGTCAAACATGCCATCAGAAAAATCTCCTTAAACTTCATGTTTTTGACGCTTGGCGTTTGTAGCAAACCTTTGTAGCAAAGCCACTACAAGGTGGCTAGCACCCAGCAAAAGGCCACATGTGACCACAATAAATATATTTGGTGCAGGAAAATAAATTACGGCATCTGCAGGGAATGGATTAAGCATCCAGCATCTTATATCTGGGAAGGGCTGTTGAGCTGGAGTTGCTACATCATTTGTTTTCCTCCATGTCTTTAACCATGGAGATATTGTAGGATACCAGTTTTATCCCTGTTGCAGATCTATTCAGGTTATAAAACTTTTCAAATATATCAGCGTACTTATTTCCTCTCCCCACCCCCAACAGCTTGAAAGTAAAACACAGCAAGTAGCTGCCAAGAAATGGATGTATGGTACAGTATCCATTGATAAAACGGTGGGAAAAGACACTTTCTTTGTCATTACGTGGAGCGCAAGCACAACTCCACCAGAGATGTTTCTGGACGATCCCAAGGGGAAAAAGTACCGTACAAAGGACTTCATAACTGATAAAACCAACCTACGGACAGCCCGGCTCCAGATTAGTGGAATCGCAGAGGTAAAATATTCACTCTCTATGCAGATAACTCTTCTGTTGCTTGTGTGCCTTTTCCTTTGGAAAATAAGGATACATTATGCAAGTGGGGAAGAGCCATTTACAGTGGTGCCCCGCAAGACGAATGCCTCGCAAGACGAAAAACGCGCAAGACGAAAGAGTTTTTCTTTTTTTGAGTTGCTTCGCAAGACAAATTTCCCTATGGGCTTGCTTCGCAAGACGAAAACATCTTGCAAGTTTGTTTCCTTTTTCTTAAAACCGTTAATACCCAGGGAAACTGTGCTTCGCAATACGAAAAATTCGCAAGACGAAAAAACTCGCAGAACGAATTAATTTCGTCTTGTGAGGCACCACTGTACTTCTCGAAGTCCTCGGTGTAAGATTTTGCAATGATATTAACAGTGCTTTGTTTTTCCTTAGAAGAGAAGGTGCCAGTACTCACAGCCTAGAAATGGCTGGAGGAAGGACAACCAAGTGGGCATAAGGGGCGGGGGAGACGCTCTGCACATGCTCAGGGAAGAAGGCAGCAGGCCTCTAGGATCCTGGCACAGTCTCATGCCTCATTCCCCAAGCCCAGAAAGTGCTTGCTTGGCTCTGGGATGGAGGCAGGAGATACCACCCCCTGGGGGCCCCCGGAACCTCGGGTGCAAATGGGAGGCGTTAAATAAAAATAAGGGGGGTGGAAGCATAAATAAAGAAGACAAGAAAAAATCAAAAAGCCATTTGTACATGTTTCCTTTCCCGGGAGAGCACTGAGAAATTTTTGTTTCCCCCGAAAAGGGTGCGGTAGGCCAAATAAGTTTGGGAACCTCTGGTCTGGAAGGTGCCATGAGACGTTCTTTTCATTTCCTGGCTCATCAAATGCCTAGCATGACACTGCTGCCAGTATCTGCTCTTGGTATATTTTCAATAAAAAAAGACACCCCATCTTATCAAGGCATAATAATAACCGAAGGAAATAGGAACTGTATTTATAAACAGTTAGATATGGGTATTTAATATCCTTCTATTTCTCATCACTTGATTTCCAGGCAGGAGACTGGAGGTATTCCCTGCAGAATCAAAATACAGCTCAAACCATGACAATAACAGTCACGAGCCGAGCAAGATCAGCAACTGTGCCTCCAGTTCATGTGATGCCTCTTATAAAAAGAACGCATAAGTTTCCTGATCCGTTGGTTATTCATGCAGAAGTCAGCCAAGGGTTCTTACCTGTGACTGGTGCAAAAGTCATAGCCACAATTGAAGCAGACAATGGAGCAGCTGTGGATCTAGAGCTTTTGGACAATGGCGCAGGTAAGTTTGTTTTGAAGTGTTTGTGGCAGTATGCATTTCCCACAGAATCAGAACATTAACTCATTTAGTCTAGCATTATCTAACTTGTCAAAATGCCTGGCAATTGTATTTTCAAAACCAGCCACTTTTTTTAATTAAAAAAAAAGTTTGTTTATTTATGATATTTGCAAACCACTAAAAAATCCCAGTTCAGACTACACACATAGTTGAAATAAAATTAAATGCAATAAAATAGTATAGTATAATACAACATTCAACGTAATACTTAATATGAAATCATCGGCTTCTAAAACGTAGACTCATAAACAGGCATAAAACTCAAAATTGACTGGCAAACAGTTATGTCATCCCCAAAGCCTGAGGTCCTTTTTAGCTTGCGTTGCCAGAGATATAAACTGCCTGCAGAACATATGCTCTACCCCTGAGATGAGACCGATAGGGAAGACTCCATTCTGGGTCTTTGCGAAACCCTTCTAGGTGCTAACACCTTCACTCCTTCTGTCTTTCACCTGTGAGAGATAGCAAGGAGATGCCATGCTTTCCCATACCCTCCAACATTTCTCCGATGAAAACAGGGACATCCCATTCCATCATGATAATTTTGCTATTTATACCCCACACATTTAACTGGGTTGCCCCAGCCACTCTGGGCAGCTTCCAACATATATAAAAGTATAATAAAACATTAAACACTTAAAAACAACAAGACAACCCTATACAGGATTGCATTCAGATGGCTTGGGGGTCGGAGAACTCCATACCCTCCAACATTTCTCCAATGAAAATAGGGACATCCTAAGGAAAACCAGACATCCCGGTCAGAAACCAGGGTGGCTTCTTTAAATCAGGGGTGTCCCTGGAAAACAGGGACGCTTGGAGGGTCTGGGATGCCATCAGCACAGATGTAAACCTAACAAGAGTTACCTGGGCAGAACCCTGACTCCAAGGCTTACAATCTGCAATAGGCAGTGGTAAAAAGGGGAAGATCCCCCCCCAAAAAAACACCCCAGTTAAAGTACATTCAGTCACTTCACCCAAAGAAAAGCGGGACATTCTGGAATCAAATCAGGGATGTCCCTGGAAAATAGGGACACTTGGTGGGTCTGGTTTCCAGGTGTGCTTCTTGATATAGAAGGAGCTAATAGCCCCATCTGGATGCTTCAAGCCTCCATGTGATTAGAATCACATGAAGAATGGAGGAAACAGCTGTCCCCATTGTCATCCTCCATCAGTTGGTGATGAACGTCTGCCATGGGGAACTTGCTCTACTCCCTACATATTTCGAAACCCTAAATTGTGCAGGGAGCCTGCTGAAGGAAACGGCTTCCCATTTCAGAAGTTATCCCCCTCATCAGTGCCATCTTCCTAGGAAAAGAGGTGCTGGAACTCACCTTGAACATTTCCCTTGTTCTCTTATAATGGCAATGGCTTCCACCTGAGAGGGGCTAGAACCAAGTTCCCCTGAGTTATGGCTGGGCAGGAGGGAGCCCTGCCCCTCATCACTTGAAGGATGCCAGAATAGGCCTGAGCATCTGGCTCAGGTGCGGATGACCTTTGCCTCACCTGATTTTGCTGAACTAGAAACTGCCATGTAAGAAGGGGCTCAGATGATGTTCTTACAGTCCAGGCAAGTTCATGAGGGGAAAGGCAGGCGTGGATATATTTAGCAATGGCAGCCCACCAAGAGCTTGATAAATTTAATTTTCCAACTGCCGGGACTGCAGAAAACGGAGCTTGTCAAGCATGCAAAGGTCCACAATGTATGCTGGTTTGCTGTCTTCAGGTTGGCGAGTTACAAGCTGTGTTGGCCTGCGTTGAACAGGGATTAACATACTTATGACTCCATATTACTTCATATTCAGATTTAGGCACTCTACTGTTTTCCATTAGAACAGGAGCAGATACAGTGGTACCTCGGGTTAAGTACTTAATTCTTTCCGGAGGTCCATTCTTAACCTGAAACTGTTCTTAACCTGAAGCACCACTTTAGCTAATGGGCCTCCCGCTGCCGCTGCACCGGCGGAGCACGATTTCTGTTCTCATTCTGAGGCAAAGTTCTTAACCCAAGGTACTATTTGTGGGTTAGCGGAGTCTGTAACCTGAAGCAGATGTAACCTGAAGCGTATGTAACCTGAGGTACCACTGTACTGTGAAACAAACATCTCCTACATAGGTTATGTAGGGTTTCTTTTTCTTTTTTTAATAGCAGTGAGGTTTTGGGTTTGGATGTTTAATTTTAATATCAATGTACCTAGGTGCCGACATTATAAAGGATGACGGAATCTACTCGAGATATTTCACATCGTTCAAAGTAAATGGTCGACACAACCTAAAAGTGCGGGTCCAGGGGCAAGGCAAGACTGGCAGAAGGATCCGTAGGCAAAGTCAAGCTTTCTTTGCACCAGGGTTTGTAAATAATGGTAAGGATTTGTTACGAAATAGCAATACTGGTGGTATGCTAGCTCTGCGATTCTCAAAGTGTGAATGACACTGGGCATCTCCAGAAGGAAACAAACTTCTTCCTGCCATTTCCCTCCCCATCGTTGTCTTTATGTAGATCTGGACACTTGAGTACATATCTCTGACACGTTCACACATATATGTAGGCACATCCTTCTTTCCTGCAATATTCAAATCTGCCATGTGCTTCTCAGCTCAGTGGATTAGAGAGAGAGAATAGATCTACAGCAGATTTGTTGTTGTTGTTGTTGTTGTTGTTGTTGTTGTTGTTATTCACCTTCCAGTTATGCCAAGGCAATGTAGAAAATAAAATGCAAACGGTTACAAAACAGCACAAAAAAATAACGGAATATTCGTTGAAAAATGGATACCTACAGTAGAGAACTCTTCATCCAGCTGGGATAGCTTGTCAGCATAAAAAAATGTATTTTAGAAAGTGTGGGTGGGATGTCATATCTCAACAGGATGTTGTTCCATAGAACAGGGGGAGCCACCCCGAAAGCTCTGCTTTAAGAAAATAATTATGATTTTCTGTATATTCTGTCTTTGTTTTGGGTTTGCACAAAAGGAAATAAACGGGACTTTCAAAATAATGGGGAAGTTTGGAGGTTTGTAGTCTCACCATATAATCTATCATCCTTCCTTCTTTCCTTCCTTCCTAGGTGTAATAAATATGAATCCCCCAAAACCGGAAGTTCGTGATGATGACATCGAAGTTGACGTAGGAAATTTCAGTAGAGTGGCATCAGGTGGCTCTTTTGTAATGTCAGGAGTTCCGCCTGGTAGTAGTAAAAAAGATGTTTTCCCACCCTGTAGAATCACTGACCTTGAGATAAAACCACTGGGTGATTATCAGTTCCTTTTGTCCTGGACAGCTCCTGGGAATGACTATGATGAAGGAAAAGGTAAGTGCAAAATTCTGCTTTAATCAGTCAGTCAGTCAATCAATCAATCAATCAATCAATCAATCAATCAGCAAGACTGTAGTGTGTGTGTGTGTGCATAAAAAGGTGTGGAGAGCCAACCACCACTTTTATTTGCAGCAGCCTTATTGCCCTATAATATTATATTACAGTAGCATTATATTATTGCTCTGGGAAGAGGGATTTCATCCCATCTGGTCCACCGTTGCTGAGGGCAGAGGGCTACCTGCGGATAGGAAGTTTGCAATGCATTGAAAAGGATTTCTGTCACTGTTATCCTTGATGCACAACTGAAGACGCGCATCTTAATGTATGTATGCCCTGTTGGCTGTTCTTTATTTTGCAGCTGAAAGGTACGAAATAAAAATGAGTGAAGATCCCTCGGCGTTAATAGATGCAGCTTTTCAAACAGCCACCTCTGTGAATACTGCTGGTCTGAAAATGGAAGTCGCTGGGGTCAAGCAATCCTTCCAGTATAACGCAGAAAACTTAAAAAAATCGAATGGCACCTCCATCTACTTTGCCATTCGTGCCATTGATGGTAGCAACAATGTCGGAGAAGCATCTAATATAGCCAGAGCAGTTGTGCTTGTTCCCATATTGCCAACCACCCCAGATGATACTTTTTGTCTGTAGCTTGTGTTTTGCATAAACAAAAAACCAGAAGTCTTGATACTGGAATGCAATATTACAGCTAGGATTCTGTTTCTGTTTTGAATTTTAATTGGCTCATTGTTTGTATGCTCTTTTTCTTCTTTTTTTTTCTTTTGGTAATTTTCATGTCTACAGCTAAGCAGCTTCCATAATACAAATGGCTTAAAAAAATTGTACTCAAATATTTCATGGCAGAATTGTCATGATTAAAATGCATCGTTATCTTTAAATGTGAATTTAGTAAGTTGGCAACCCTAATAAGCAGGTGCACTGGGGCAAACTTGTGTGTTTGGCAACCTAGTAAGTTAATGTTTGTTAGAGACACTTATGCTTGTGAGATATTCACATGTGACACTTTTAACAGCCTGTACTAAACCTCTTTATTCCATTTTAGCCTTTTATTCTTTCAAGTTAAGAAAACTCTTTTTAACGCAGTTGGCTTGTGAGATCTGGTGAGCAGAATGCATCAGCTTTGCTAAGAAATTGTTCTAGTGACAGCATAGCAATGGAACAGTGACACAGTTATGTGCTAAGGTGGTTTTTGCTTACAGGAAGGCAGGAGAAAAAGATTGAGATGAAACTGTGGGTCTTTGAAACGTGGGGTGCTGCCATACATATGGAGAGAAAAATATTACGACAATTCAAAAGTCTGGATCATGGCAGAGAAGAGTGCTGTGTGCACAAGACAAGACATATTCTATGGGAGAGAACTTTTGTTCTCCATAATATGTGGCAATAAAATCAGCACACTCTCAATGGCAATTTGGAGAAGAACCAATTCACAAAAAAAGCGTTGCAAATTCACATAGTATTGCACAGCACGGATTTTCAAAGGCGAGACATGACCACAGTGCTTCCATCTCTCACTTTATTTTTCCCTTTTTGTACAGAGCTCTCTGGTCAGGATCCTCCACTTTTGTGTGTCTTTCTGCTTTCCTTGGTGGGAGTGCACTAGGCTTAGGGTACTAGTAGGATTATGCCTTCACTTTCGATTCCCCCTTTCCAGTGTTCCTCTTCACAAGGGAGAGAGGACATCCTAACCTGTGTAACATTTTGTTATGCAATAAAGCTTCAAACTCTCCTTTTTGTTCTGGTTATCTGTTCATCTATCTTCCTTTGCAAAGGAAGAACCCAGGTTGCAGTCCAATTGTTTATCCTGGCATCTTTGCAGAAAATGACCCCGGGCTGATCCGTTTGACACACACGCACACACTAAGCCTATTGTTTAAAGTTCACTAACTAGTGAACTTTAATTTTAGTATATGTGCTGCCGAAGCGAGCACGCACTAACTAGTGAACTTTAAAGTCCCCAGAGTGAGTCATAACAGAACCCGACTAACTTATTCCATCAGTTCAATGTCAATAATATTCCTGGTTGTTGTTGTTTGTAATTACCATATTGGCCTGAATATAAGCCTCACTTTTTTTCCAAATTCCGACCGTGAAAAGTTACAAGTGTGGCTTAAATTTGCAGCCTTACAAAAATTGGCTTTTGCAATATTGCTGCTGAAACAGACATCCGGTAAAATGGAGCCAAAAAATGTTTTATTGCCGATTTGCTAGCTTGAGACTGTTCGCTTGCCATTTATGGTTGTGAGTGTCTGCGGAATTGTAGCAAATGAATAGTGATTTGTTATTTTAGCGATTGTACAGTGACTTTTGCGGGCTTGCAAGATCAAAGGCTTAAATTGGCTCAGAGTTCCAATTCTACCAATCGCAGCGATTTTCAGCCTGTAACCCAATTTTAAGGGAGTGGCTTATATTCGGGTACTTCCCACCGAATTTTAAAGGTGCGGCTTATATTTGGGCCAATACGGTAAATATCTGTATCAAAATAGATTACTATTCTTTGACTGCAAGTTCTGGGATCTATTTGTAAATCAGCTAAAACTGATCAGAAGTAAGTGACTGGTGGACTTAACCATTGCCCCATACTTTCAACTAGATACTGGAAAATTGCTTTTAATGGTCATTCAATAAAGGTAACTTGAATAGTCATATTTTACAGGTGAGGAATACAAAGGCTGAGATATAAGTGGTGAGCACAAGACCAGCCATGGCAGAGATTTTAATCTATGCTCTGCTCACCCTTATCTATGTGATCTTTGACTTCATGGCATTGCTTAAGTGAAAATCCAGTATGTATGCATCATATACCGATTTTGCAAATTTTACCATGGTAATTCATGGACAACAACACATCATTTAGGTACTCCTGCAGGCACCACCTGTTTGCTCACTTCTCTTTTATTGTGTCACATGTATTTCTGGTCCTCCAAACAAACTGGTATCCTGAAGATGGAGTGCATATATGTGTGAAGGTCAATGCCTCTTTTCAGTGTACAATAATATGGAGAGGTGTGGACCACAGAGATCATTATGAGAACAAGGAAGTGTGCTGCTCCTGACTTTATTGCTCTGGTATGTTTGAAGTGTTCATCATGCAATATTTTCTTGTAAGAACTGGCTGCAAAGTGCCAGGGTGTGTATATTCTGTGAAACTGAAACTTCTCAAATGTATGTGACTTCATTTTGCACAATAATTTGGTGTGAGCCCAACTGAACATCTATATCAATCTTTAGATCTGTACAGCAGCCCAATGAAGTGAATGTTTTATTAAACTTTGAAAGTATCTCCCTGGAATCTTTCATGGGGTCTGGGGATTTCTTTCAATTTTTGATAGCTTAATAGATGTCCTCATGAGGCTCAGCATGCAGCCCATCTAGGTCTATTCATGTAGCCACTGTATATCTTGCTATAAGGAAGGCTACACATAATAGAAATGTAGAATTGGAAGGGACCATGAGAGTCATCTAGTCCAACCCCTGCATTGCAAGAATCTTTCGCCCAATGTCTCATGCTCTACCGACTGAGCTAGCCAAGTAGGATGAATTCATTGTAAAGAAGACAAGGAGAAGGCAGTCTGGAAGATGTCACATTCATAATCCACACTTCTGTTTGTGCTGTGATTTCCAGGCACTGGTCCAAGTGTTTTGTTCGTTTGTGCTGCTGCTTTCCTTGGGAAAACCTGCTGTTTACCACTAAATCGGAACAAACGCCCATTTTGTGGAAAACTCAATTGATGTTTGTTCCGATTCAGTAGTAAACAATGGATTTTCCTGGGCCAAGCAGCAAGACAAAACCAAACCAAAAACCACTCCGATCCGTGCCTAGAAATCCTGGCACAAAATGGAAGCCTGGATAAGCCCTTGGTCCTTCATATAATTTTATATCATTTGATGTCCCTGATGTTGCCTGACATTTAAGTGCTTAAACCACACACACGCACCTAATGTGTTTAGTCCCCCATTTTTCCAGCTGCACATCTTGTGACCAGGTACATACTGAAGAAACACTGTGCTGTATGAAGTTGGACTGTGAAACTCTGCTCACTCGGTACCTGAACGACTGGCGTGTCAGAGGCTGTTCTGAACTAATTACAGGTGATTAAAATGATGATAACGAGGCCTCTGAGTCCAGTCCATGTTCCTTGCCCTGGAAAGCACCGAAGCAGAGCATTCTGAGGGCAGGGAAGGGGCAAGTCTTTGCCAGTATTACATGTGAGATTATTGGGTCCAGATCTAAAGCTGGAGAAGGCACAACGATCACGAATAGTGATCGCAGACGGATCCGCCTCCCCTTCTGCTCAAGCCACTCTGAACAGCAAAGCTGTCAGTGCAACCATGGGACCCTCCCTCTGTAAAGCCCTGCAGGCAGGGGATGGGAGTCAGAATTGTGTCCTAAGGATGCAATCCTAACCCCATATACCTGGGAATAAGACCCACTGGATGTAATAGGATTTATTTCTGAGTACGCTGAGGAGTGAGTTTCAATGCTGCAGTCCTGGCAGCACTTCCCTGTAAGTGATCAATGGCTTAGGCTGAAAGTGTTCCATCCTTATTTCTGCGCAAGTGGCTTATTCCGTTATTTAAATAGCTTTCCAGGTGCAGGACAAGCAAAGTGTGGAAAAATTTGAGCAACAGATCAATAGTTTCATTTGCAGGTAAACATTCTGGACAAATCCCTCCCCCCCCCCCATTTCTTCTTCCAGCTGTACGTTGGGAATAAGTGAAAGTCCCCTGAAAGTGAGGGAAAACTTGAAAATGCTGCAACCATGAATACCTCCAGCCTGACCCCTCAGCCGGCTGGTTCCAAGGAAATATTTGCAATTAAACCAAAAGCTTTGGCAAACCTCGCACTAATATATGTGGGTGTTTGCACAGTTGATAAATCTTTCCTGTACTCTGACCTCTCCAACACAGCTCAGGCATTGACTCTTTCCCGGAAGGGTACGCGCTTTGCTCCTGCCAAGCAGGGAACCAGAACAGTAGTTTGAACGTCATGTGGGCTGCTGTTGCTGATGGCTTCTTTTGCCTTATTCTAAGCACAACTCTATGGACCTTAAAGAAAAAGAAGACAATAGGTCATTGGTAAAACCATACCAGGGAACCCAGATTTACTATTTACAGTATAGGCCTTTTCATGTTTCTAAGTGACAATTACTATACAGTGGTACCTTTGTTCTTGAGTTTAATCCATTCCGGGAGTCCTTTTGACTCCTGAAATGGTTAGAAAACCAAGGCACGGCTTCTGATTGGCTGCAGGAGTTTCCTGCACTCAATCAGAAGCCACGGAAGCCATGCCCAACATTCAGCTTCCAAAAAACATTCGCAAACCAGAACAATCACTTCCGGGTTTGTGGCGTTAGGGAGCCGATTTGTTCAGGAGCCAAGCTGTTTGACTACCAAGGTAACCAGGAAAGCCATCTTGGGATTATGGTGGATAGCTTGATGAATGTGTTGACCCAGTGTGTGGCAGCAGTGGGGAAAAGTTGGTTCTGTGCATAGGAGCCAATTCCTAGGGCCGAGGTCCCTTCACACACACCCTTCAAATGGTGTGTGTGCACACCACATCATGTGATCAAGTATGCAGGGTGGGGATTACCTGCCCCCCAATGTTTTATTCAAGTTGGCACCCCTGTTTCTATGTCATCCCTAACAGCTCTTCAACAAATTGTCGCACCAGCTAAGCATTTCAGATACACCACCACGGCATGATGCCTAAATTGGGGTGGGAAACCTCAGATCCAGGGGCCAAATGCGGCCCTTCATACCTGCCCATCTGGCCCTCAGGGGGACTCTCCCTAGGCCACACCTTTTACCAGTCCTGTTTTGTACCCTGCTCAAGAGTTTTTGTCTGGCTGGAACATGTTATGCCTCTTTCTCGCTCGGATGATTAAGAGAGATGCTCAAGTTTCTGTAGTAGACAACACAACGGTAAAATGAAAGTCAAAATCACCTTTGTTGTCTTGCCCCCAGGAGATTAGCACCGCCATCCCCAATGCCCTTGGTCTCATAGATGCCATTTCTGGGAGACGTAGCTGCTGAGGCATCCACAAAGGTTTTACTGTGGGTGTGCAGATGGGTGACCCAACACGTTGTGTACTGTGGCAGGACACTCCATCAGGCCCTCCCATTGTGGAGAGGGGCCTCTGTTGGGCCTTCCCGCTGCAGTGGCAACATGTGCTTTCAAGTATAGGCATGACATCACACGCAAGTGTGGGGCACCCACAATATTCGGTGGAACTCGGTGCACTGCTTGGTCTAAAAAATGTTCCATGTCCCTCTTCTAAACACTATGTTAGCAGGGCTCCCCCAGAACTCAGTTCCTGCACGTCCCAGGTGGGTGCCATAAGAGGACAAGTCAGGTGTTCATGGTGAGTTTCGGTACCTCCTTTTCTATGAAAATAGCACTGTATGTTAGTATTGTGACCAAGAATATTACCTCGAAGAAGGAACTTAGGTTGTTTGCTTGTGATAACCTATGCCTACAGAATTGTAGAACCCAGCCTTCGGGGATAGTACAGAACAGTGTAGAACTACAACTGCCATCATCCCTGCATATGGTGCCTGCTTACTGGAACTGATCCGAGTTGTAGTCCAGCAATAATTGGAAGGCCAAAGTTCCCCATACCTGATATAGAGACAACAAGAAGGAACCCTACATACAGAGATCAGTGTCCAAATTGAAAATGATACTTTGCAGTTATCCTGTCTGGTGTCATCTTACATGACAAGAAGATAAAGGGTAAATAAATAACTGTATCATTGTGGGTTGAGAAATCTATTTCCTGGCATGCATTGAAAGCATACCTATGTGATTATCCGATAAACCAGTAACAGGAATTTCTTTGCCTATGCTATAAGTGACCCAGCCCTCCTTGTCAAGCTGACCTTTGCTGTCAAAGATTTTTCTAGAAGAGCAACCTCGCCCTGCCTTTCAGAAGGCATAATAGCGCTTCACCTTTCCAGTCGAAATACAGAAATATAAAGGCTTGTAGAAAACATTACATGCATATGTATGCAAAAGCTCATCACAGGTGATGCCTGAGGATTTTATTTTTGCTCATCCTCATTTAACCTTTCGTTTCTTCCACAGAAAAGAAGTCGGTGTGGGAGATTTATCATGTGCAAAGCGTCACACATGGAGGACAGATCTCAGTCTGTTTGGATTACATAATCCCTTGTCTCTTGCTCACTAGCACCCCCTGAAGTGTATACTTTCCCCCCTAACCAAAGTCCACTGTGTCATCTAACAACTGGTTGTTGAATTCCAATATATCAAAGTCCTTAAAAATGCTGTTATATTAAAGGGACCTGTGGGTACAGGGCAGGATATAAATTCAATAAATACAGTCATACCTTGGAAGTCGAACTGAATCCGTTCTGAAAATCCATTCAACTTCCCAAATGTTCGGAAACCAAAGCATGGCTTCAGATTGCTGCAGAAAGCTCCTGCAGCCAATCAGAAGCCATGGAAGCCCCTTTGGATGTTTGGCTTCCAAATATAGTTCGCAAACCGGAACAGTCACTTCTGGGTTTGCGGCGTTGGGAAGCCAAAACGTTCAAGAACTAAGCTGTTCGAAAACCAAGGTGCATCTGTAATAATAATAATAATAATAATAATAATAATAATGTTTTCATTTTTTAAAAAATGAAGCAACATCTCCCCAGACTCCCAGACTGCCACCAACTAAACTTTCAAGGACGATAGAAGTACAAAATTATATTTGGTGGAATTCAATGCTATCCTATTATGTTCTGTCTGTGCAAGCATTGCCACAAAGAACGATCTCCCCACATCCCTGTGTGCTGTTTGGTGGGGTTCTCCCAACCCCCCTTGAGCCAATTGGGGGGGGGCAGACATCTATCTGGCCCTTGGGGGGGGGCTCTCCCTAGGCCATGCCTTTTACCAGCCCTGTTTTGTACCCTGCTCAAGAGCTTTTGCCTGGCTGCTACTTGTTGTGCCTCTTTCTCGCTTGGATGGAGGATTAAGAGAGATGCCCAAGCTTCTGTAGTAGACAAAACAACAGTAAAATGAAAGTCAACTTCACTGGTATTGAAAAACAACAACACTTTTCCTTATGTCGCTACAGACTGGATAAGTAACCAAATAAAATACAGCTGGTAGAGAATCTCAGCCCCTCTCAGTGCCCAGCAACTGGAGGAGGAAGAGAGAGAAGAGGGTGAAGAAACTCAGCAAACCTGGAACTGGGTGTGGGGAGTACAGCTGAGTGGGACCCAGCAATAGGCAGCCTGAGGAAGAACCATCTACCTTGTGTCTGCCCATAAGAAAGCAAGTCTAGAGTGAGAGACTAGGGTGATGTCCGTTGTTTCCAGAAACTCTTCTTGTTGTGATACTTTTGTAGAAGAGCTGAGAGTCTGTTTGTCTGCTGAGAGGACCCTGGTCTGCTGAGAGGACCCTGGGTGAGAATTTATTTTGACCAGTGCTATTTTTCTAGAAAAAGAGGTGCCAGAACTCACCACAAACACTTCCCTTGTTCTCTTACAATAAAAATGGCATCCACCTGGCAGGTGCAGAAACTGGGTTCCAGGAAGCTCCAGCTGGGGAAAAACACACCTTGATTTTGACTTACCGTACTTTTCTGTGTAAGACATGGGGTTTTTTTACTCAAAAATGTTTAAAAATGGGGCTTGTTTTATACACAGGTAGTGCATTGTAGGGCCAGGTGATTGGTTGCAGCCACGTCTTATACATGGGGGCAGGTTATACACAGAAAAATATGGTATATACATTAGCAACTTTGCATTAATGTAAATTTTTTATACGTAACTGTGTATTTCTGTCAGTGCTTTTTCCCCCCTAGAAAAAGAGGTGCCAAAACTCACCATGAACACTTCCCCTGTTCTCTTATAATGGCGATGGCGTCCACCTGAGAGATGGTGGAACTCAGTTCTGAAAAGTTGCGGCTGAAAAAAAGCCCTGATTTTCGTAATATTTTGTTTTAAGTTGTCTATTTTTGCTTCAGTTTTTTGTACATTGCTTAGAGATATTTTTAATATACAGTGGAACCTCGGTTTTCGAGCATCTCAGAAGCCAAACGTTTCAGAAGCTGAACGCCAAAAGCGCCTCAGAAGTCAAACAGCTTCCTCTGCGTGTTATTATTTTTTTCTCAATGGATTTTGCTGACCACCCATTGCTCCTTGGTTTTCAAATATCTCAGAAGTCGAACGGTCTTCTGGAACGGATTACGTTTTAAAACTGAGGTTCAACTGTATTAAGCCTCATAAAAATTAGTGCCAGGTCCGGGCCACCATGACGCAAGATCAGGCGACCGCCTCAGGTGGCAGGAGCCATGGGGCAGCAGATTCAGTCACCAAGCGCAGCAATGGCTGTGGCACACACCTTGGAAGCCAGATTTGCCACCTCCTTGACAGATTTTTCTGTCCAGAGGTGCCTCGCTAATAAGGAAATCTGAACGGTTGCTATGACTAACTTCGTATCAACACTTTCAGTAAAAGTTTGCAATGTATTAATGGTGAGCAGAACAAGGAAGTGCAGGGTTGGATTAATTTACAACATTCCTTAAAGATTCACCAGTTTGTTACCTGAAGATGGCACTATCAGGAAATAGAAAAATAGCAGAATTTCCTTGACAGAACAAAGTCCTGTCATAAACCAAGCAGTTATGCACTTGCATAAATAGCCCTTCCGTTCTATTAGTCCTTTCTGTGGGACAGGGCTAAGTGGCAGAAGCAAATATGGTGTTCAGTCGGTGGCTTCTTCTGATGGTGTTACAATTCCTACATGGGGCGACGGGTACCATGGTAAAACTCAACAATGGTGGGTTTGAAGACATTGTCATTGCAATCAATCCTGCAGTTGCTGAAGACAACAAAATTGTCGACAACATAAAGGTAAGGTGGTTAGATGTTTCTGAATATATTGAATGACTGTCCCCTCAGGGACCTGTGATATGCTAGGAAAATGCAGTGTGCCTCATGTAAGCATAGGTTCCAGGGTGCTACTGGACACCCCTGCACCCAAGCATATAGGTGGGACCCATAAGAAAATGTCAAAGTGTGGGTGCTGCTCCTTCCCTGTTCTATTCAGCTATGCTTTCCACCAGGATAATCCAATCTACCTTCTCCTGGTCTCCGCCACAGTCCATCATTTAGTTTTCATTAGGCTGTTTTTCAGGTGTGTCCCAAACCTCATGGGGTTTTTCTTTTCCTGATATTTTTTTTTCATTTTCGCAAAACTTGTGGTGACTCCAAGCCTTCTTATAAGTCCCTCTTGTGAATTAATGGCGCTGTTTTGGCTCTATAATTAATGGCACTGTCAGCCTGAAAATTACGAAAAGAGGGAAGGATGATGATGAAAAGCAATGGAATTCCTGAAGCCCAACATGCTGAGCTAAGTGTGGTTTTGTTAGCTCTGTGTCAGAGGTAAATACTCTGGGGTAAATGTTGTGCTGGTTTTGACCATTTGATGTGGAAATGCCCCATTAACCAATTAGAGCTGTGTGGGCACCAATTATCAGGATAGTGCAGTGGAACCTCGGGTTATGTACCGTCCTCCTTGTGAACACTTCGGGTAACAAGCTCCACTAACCTGGAAGTAGGTCTCCTGGTAGCAAACTTTGTCCCAGGATGCGAGCAGAAGTCACATGGTGGTGGCGCGGTGGCAGTGGGAGGCCCCATTAGTGAAAGCGTGCCTCAGGTTAAGAACGGTTTCGGGTTAAGAACGGACCTCCAGAACAAATTACCGTATTTTTCGCTGTATAAGACACACCAGACCATAAGATGCACCTAGTTTTTGGAAAACAAGAAAAAAAATATTCTGAATCCCAGAAGCCAGGACAGCCAGCGGGATCGCAGCGCAGTGATCCCGCTGGCTGTCCTGGCTTATGGGATAGCCGCGCGCAGCCTCTCCAGGGCAAGGGGAGCCTTCATGGAACCTTCACGGAGTGTGTGTGCTACTCTTGGGAGCTTTTCCCCAAGAAGGGAGAAGGGCAGCCCTTCTCCCTCCTCGGGAAAAGCCCCCAAGAGCCCCACACATGCTTCACGCAGCTCTTTAAAGGGAACACAGAGCAGAGCCTCCCGCCTGCATTTGCTCCGTAAGATGCACACACATTTCC